AGGGAGAGCTGGGGCAGCTGCAGGGGCCAGAGCAGGATGAGGCAGGAACCTGTCCGCCAGGGTCTGGAGGTGGCCTCAGAGGGCACGGCCTTGCTCCTCCAGCGCCTGCAAGCTCTGCTGCCGCAGGTCCTCACAGACCCAGTGCTCCTGGTTGTGGAGCTGCTGCCCTAGTAGCCACAGGTGCCGCCATTGGTGGTACTCCTAGTTCCGGGTGCACCTGCTGGCCCGGGTGTGGGTGGCTGTGTCCAGGCGAGGCGGTGTGCCCTGCACTCGCGGGTGGTATGCCCTGCACTCACAGGTGCTGCATCTGTGGTGAAACGAGCAGTGGTCAGTTCTCCCTGGGGACACGGTGGGTGAAACCCAGCCCCCCTCTGCAAGGCGAAGGGAGATTGGCGTGTGGGGAACGAGCCAGGGCCCCTGCATGACACCCAGCTGCTGCTCTATAGTGGGCAAGACCCAGGTGCATGGTCCCTGGGCTCCCTTTCCTCCCCTCTCCCCCCAAAAGGGGACCATGATGGCACTCACATGTGGCGCCTTCCTCGGCCTCAGATGACACAGCTGATGGGCTCTGAGGGATGACTTGGGGGTCCTGGGTGCTGGGCAGGCTCCCTGCAGGCTCCTGTGGCTCCTGGCTGTCGTCATCCTCATCTTCCTCCTCTTCCCCTGTTTCAGGGGCTGGGCCCTCTGCTCCGGGGTCGATCACCACCCGGGGAGCATGGACTGTGTGAGCCCCCAGGATGCGGTCCAGGGCCTCATAATGAGGGCAGGTGTCTGGGTCAGCCCCTGGTTGGGAGCTCTTGGCAGAGGCTTTAATTTTGCAGTGCACCTGCTCTTGGCTGCGCATGTGGCCTCTGGTGGCCAGGCTCGCAGCCATGCGGCTGTAGACGGCTGCATTCCTGTGCCTAGTGCGGAGATCGTGGACATTAGAGGCCTCCCCCCAAACCTCAATGAGGTCCATGATCTCTGCACTAGACCAGGCGGGCGCCCATCTTTTTCGGCCCCTGGCAGGCTCCTGAGAGCCACCAGCCTGGTCCTGAGAAGAGGTGGAAGGCTGGGTGGCAGCTGGTGGCTGGCTCATGGTTTGCCAGGTGCAGGGACTGCTGGCTGGATGCTGGCAGGCTGGCAACTGGTACAGGCACTGTGGCCAGAATCTGCCCCTTTAAGGGCTCCGGGGCTGGGAGCGGGGCAGAAGAGTTTTCCTGGGTTGGCCCAGAGTGGTCACCAGGGGAACCTGGGAAGGGCTAGCCTCCAGCTAGTTCGAATTAAGTGGCTACACAGTACTTAATTCAAACTACTTAATTTGAATTAGGCGTTACTCCTTGTAGAAGGAAGTTTACCAAGTTCGAATTAAGCACTCCACTAGTTTGATTTATATTCGAACTAGCGGTTTGTATGTGTAGCTGCTATTAAAGTTAATTCAAACTAACAGCTGTTAGTTCGAATTAACTTTGTAGTGTAGACATACCCATATATATGTTTCACATGGATGTTGCAAGCGTGCTGTAATTAAATAACATTGGTAAAATAGTTGGAGATTATCGGATTACAGGTACTAGAAAGTGCCAACTATCATCATAGCTACTGTTTCAGTTAAGATTGAATTTTATCCATAATAGGCCCACTTTTCTACTTGCTCATAACTTTCTCAAAAAAGTTTTCAGGATGAAAGTTTCCAGGCCTGATCTCAGTATAAACATAAATTTGGTTGTCTGGGAGGAGGGA